CCTCTCTCTCTCTCTCTCTCTCTCTCTCTCTCTGTATCCAGAAAACATTCCACTCGTCGCATAGCTGCACATGTGAACTGAGATGTCACTTGGCAGTCAAGAAAGACAAACAGGCTAAAATTGCCGCAATTGCGAACACATTGTCGTGGGTCGGGTGGGCATTTTCTTGGTGTGCGCAGGGCCTGAGTGTGAGTGTGTGCGTGTGCGTGTGGTGAGTTAAAGTGAGTTCATATGAGAGAGGTGAAAAGAAAGTGAATGAGAGAGAGAAAGAGAGATAGGAAGAGAGAGGGGGGAGAGAGGGAGAGAGAGGGAAAGAAGGACAGACAAACAGACAGACAGACATATTGGCAGGTAGACAGACAGACAGAAAGACAGACAGACAACAGACAGAGACAGAGACAGAGAGACAGACACAGAGAGAGAGAGAGGATGAGGATACAATGATTAGGTGTGTTTGTCATAGCTTACAATAATTTGTAAAAGAATGAGAGATCTGAAAGAGAGAGACAGCAAATGAAAAAAAATGCATTTCTCTCAACATTTTTGTTTCTTTTTTCTTGTCCATCTCCGTTATTGAACGCTAGCTTTGAAATAAGGGGCTTAGAATCTCGACCCGTCGTAATCCTAGGAGAGACATCTCTAATATCGTGCATCAACGAACGGGTCCGTGGAGCTGTCTCCGTGTCTTTGACGATGTCTGTTTGACGTGAGTCACGGACGGCAGTCTGTTCCGCAGCACGCACCATTGTACACACACGCGCACATACATATACACACACACACACACATATATACACTCACACACACATACACATACACTCATACACACACGTGACCACACATACACATACACACACAAACACACATCCACACACACACACTCACTTTATGCAATCTCTCGACTCAATCAATACTCCCCTGTCAAGAAAGGCATCCTACTGTAAGCTCTCAAGCTCTCTCTCTCTCTCTCTCTCTCTCTCTCTGTCTCTCTCTCTGTCTCTCTATCTATCTATATATCTATATCTCTCTCTTGCAACTCTCCCTCTTCTCAAGCAGATACATCAGCGCTACCCTCCACCCTCTTTCGTCCGTTTTGTCTTCTCTTTTTCCTTGAAGAATAAAAGAGGGGAAAACATCTCTTTTCCTACTGTCTGTCTATCGTTTATGATTTCATTCCAGTATGAACGAGCCTTCAGGAGCTATATGTTACTGCTGTCATTGCTCCTGATTGATTGATTTAGTTAGAGTATTATGTTTTACGACACTAAGACTATCGACACAATTTCGCTCGCCAGTCGATGTTGCAGTGGTTAACATTAGCTGTGGTATAGCCTGCAGTGGCAGTGCTCGTGGTGGGAAGTTTCAACTACTTTGAGATACATTTCATCCAGAGAACTTAAATACTTATTTCCCGATCACCTATTGACGTTAAAGTTTCCTCCCAAACTTGCCTGTTCCTCAAAACGAGCGGCACGCAGATCTTATCAGATACATACAGAACACGAAGAGGACTGTCTAAAAAGAGTTTTTACCTTGTTTGACTTTGGGGCGTTGAACAAGAAAATTTATATCTTAATTTTAACAAAGGAAAAAGAGAAAGAAAAAGAAAGAAAAGAAAACCACGTTCATCGCATATCATCTATGGTGCCATGATTAACTGTATTTGCCCCGAATCAATACCAATTGTCTACCATCAAAGTCGGAGCTGTTCTGCTTCGTTTTCTAAATTCGGGAGTAAATTTTAATGTTTGCTTGCCACTGTGGCCCGATAAACTCAACCGTAGTCAAAACGTGTTGGGATAGTGATAAAATCGATATGGATCTTGTATGTCTGCTTTTCAGAAAAGAGTCAATTTCAAAATTCCTGTACAAAAAAAAGGAGAGGAGAAAAAGGATGACAGTGTGACGGTGAAAACAATTTGGTGGGTTCATCTTCAACTTGCTTTTACTCATGAGACGTGGGTCAGGTAAAACTGGGTTGGGAGAGGGGGGGGATAACGGTGTGTGGGTGTGAGAGGAAGGTCAGCCTAATCATGAGTGTGAAATCCTCCCCCCCCCCCCTCCAAAAAAAAAACCCATCAAATTTTAATGAGCTCTTAGAGTACCCATAAAGATACCGACCCCGAGACCA